TATTCGCCTTATTTCCAGTCTGAATTTGTCTAGCTTCACCTTCCAGCCACTGGATCCTGTTAGACCTGTCTCTGCTCGACTGAAGAGTCCATTATTAAATCTTTGGTCCCCAGGCAGGTACTTACAGACTGTGATCAAGTCGCCCCTTAACCTTCTCTTTGTTAAACTAAATAGATGGAGGTCCTTGAGTCTGTCACGACAAGGCTGGTTTTCTAATCTTTTGATCATTCTCGTGGCTCCTCTCTCCAGTTTATCAACATCCCTCTTGAATTGTGGGACCCCGAACTGGACACGGGATTCAAGTACCAGTAACACCAGTGCAAATATAGAGGTAAAATAAGCTGTCAGCTCCTACTCGAGAGTCCCCTGTTTATCCATCCCAGAGCATGTTGTTGTTGTTGATCACATTAGCTTGTTGTTCATCACGCCGGGCGCTCATGTTCATCTGATTGGCCATCATGCCTCCCAAATCTTTTTCAGAGTCCCTGCTTCCCACGTAGGGACCCCCCGATCCTGTAAGAAAGCAGTTCTTTGTTCCTAGATGGATACATTTACACTTAGCTGTATTACAACACACGCTATTTGCTTGCGCCCAGCTTACCAAATGATCCAGATTGCTCTGAATCAGTGACATGTCCTCTTCGCTGTTTATCACTCCCCCAGTTGTTGTGTCGTCTGCAAATGTTATCAGTTATGATTTTCTATTTTCTTCCAGGTCATTGATAAAAATGTTAAATAGCATAGGACTAAAAACCAATCCCAGGGTAAAACAGACCCACTCAATGACAATTCCCCGTTTTACAGTTATATTTTGAGGCCTATCAATTAGCCAGTTTTTAAACCATTTAATCTGTACAATGTTGATTTTATATATTGTTCTAGCTTTTTAATCAAATAATTGTGTGGTGCCAGTCCAGTGCCTTACAGAAGTCTGTAAGTATATTATGTATTTATATTAAATATATCATTTTTAGATGACAGATCTGAGGAACTGTCCCAGACTGAGGTGTCATTAGAGGAGGTTTTGGAACAAATTGATAAACTAAACAGTAATAAGTCACTAGGACCAGATGGTATTCACCCAAGAGTTCTGAAGGAACTCAAATGTGAAATTGCAGGACTACTAACTGTCGTCTGTAACCGACCATTCAAATCAGCTTCTGTACCAAATGACTGGAGGATAGCTAATGTGACGCCAATTTTAAAAATGGGATCCAGAGGTGATCCCGGCAATTAGAGGCCAGTAAGCCTGACTTCAGTACCAGGCAAACTGGTTAAAACTATCGTAAAGAGCAGAATTGTCAGACACACAGATGAACATAATTTGTTGGGGAAGAGTCAATGTGCTTTTTGAAATCATGCCTCACCAATCTACTAGAATTCTTTGAAGGGGTCAAGAAGCATGTGGACAAGGGGGATCCAGTGACTATAGTGTACTTAGATTTTCAGAAAGCCTTTGACAAGGTCCCTCACCAAAGGCTCTAAAGCAAAGTAAGCAGTCATGGGATAAGAGGGAAGGTTCTCTCATGGATTGGTAACTGGTTAAAAAGATAGGAAACGAAGGGTAGGAATAAATGGTCAGTTTTCAGAATAGAGAGCAGTAAATAGTGGTGTCCCCCAGGGGTCTGTACTGGGCCCAGTCCTATTTAATATATTCATAAACAGGGGTAAACAGTGAGGTGCCAAAATTTGCAGACTGCAAAGAGCTACAAAAGGATCTCTCAAAACTGGGTGACTGGGCAACAAAATGGCAGATGAAATTCAGTGTTGATAAATGCAAAGAAATGCACACTGGAAAACATAATCCCAACTATAAATATAAAATGATGAGGTCTAAATTAGCTGTTACCACTCAAGAAAGAGATCTGGAGTCGTTGTGGATAGTTCTCTGAAAACATCCACTCAATGGGCAGTGGCAGTCAAAAAAGCAAACAAAATTATTGGGAATCATTAAGAAAGGGATAGAAAATAAGATAGAAAATATCATGTTGCCTCTAGATAAATCCATGGTACGCCCACAACTTGAATACTGCATGCAGATGTGGTTGCCCCATCTCAAAAAGATATATTGGAATTGGAAAAGATTCAGAAAAGGACAACAGAAATGATTAGGGGTATGGAATGGCTTCCATATGAGGAGAGATTAATTAGGCTGGGATTTTTAAGCTTGGAAAAGAGATGATTAATGGGGGATATGATAGAGGTCTATAAAATCATGACTGGCATGCAGAAAGTAAATAGGGAAGTGGTGTACTCCTTCATGTGTTATGAGTACTCCTTCTCATAACACATGAACTAGGGGTTGCTAGATGAAATTAATAGGCAGCAGGTTTGAAACAAACAGAAGGAAGTATTTCTTCACACAACGCACAGTCAACCTGTGGAACTCTTTGCTAGAGGATGTTGTGAAAGCCAAGACCATAAAACGGTTTAATACAGAACTAGATAAATTCATGGAGGGTAGGTCCATCAATGGCTTTTAATCAGAATGGGTAGGGATGGTGTCCCTAGCCTCTGTTTGTCAGAAGCTGGGAATGGGTGACAGGGCATGGATCACTTGATGATTCCCTGTTCTGTTCATTCCCTCTGGGGCACCTGGCATTGGCCACTGTCGGAAGACAGGATACTGGGCTAGATGGACCTTTGGTCTGACCCAGTAGGGTCATTCTTAATTTCTTATGTAAACACTATTACTTTTATCAACCAAACTTGTAATCTCATCAAAAATATATAAACTTAATTTGACAGGATCTGTTTTTCATAAACCCATGTTGATTTGCATTACTTACATTACCTTATTTTAATTATTAATCGAATCCCACAGCAGCCACTCCATTATCTTACCTGGGATTGATATCATGCTGACAGAGTTATAATTACACAGGTCATCCTGATTACACTTTTAAAATATTAGCACAACATTAGCTTTCTTCCAGTCTTCTGGAAATTCCCCAGTCCTCCAAGACTTATTGAAAATCAACATTAACAGTCCAGCGAGCTTCTCAGCCAGCTCTTTTAAAGCTTTTGGATGCAAATTATCGTGACTTGCTGATTTTAAAATGTCTGACTTTAATAGCTTCTATTTAATATCCAGATACATTGGTGGAATGGAAAGAGTGTTATCACCATACAATGAGATTGCCTAAATCTGTTTTTTTCCCTAAATACAGAATAGAAATATATATGGAATGCTCCTGCCTTTTCTGCATTACTGTTGATAATTCTTCTATTTCCATCTAGTAACGGACCAGTACTGTTGTCAGGATTCTTTTTGTTCCTGGTATGTTTTTTAAAACACTTTGTTATTGTCCTTAACTCTGCGGGCCATAGACTTCTTATGTTCCTTTGCTTCCCTTATCAATTTTCTACAGTTCCTAAATTCTGATATATATTCATGACTATCAACTTCCCCATTCTTCAATTTGTTGTGGTGTATGTGTGTAAACACATTATTTTTTATAGGTGCCTTCACTTATCCTCTAACCCAGGTGGTTTTTTTAAACCGGTACACCTTCTTCCTCGATTGTGGTTTTTTGGGCAGCTAGTAAGGTGTTCTTAAACAATTCCCAGTTATCATTCAGATTTTTCTGATTAAATTGTTCCTCCCAGCTGATTTGTCTCATATTCGTTTTCAGCTTTGTGAAATTGGTCCCATTAAAACACCAAGTAGATATAACTGGTCTGGAATTCATTGTTCTTGGACATTATAAATGTGATCCAATCATGGTGTCTTTTACCTAAGTTACCATTAACTTTTAGTTCTGTGATCTGTTAGGATAAAGCCTAATAAAGAATTCCCTTGTGTTGAGTTAGGAAATTGTCATCTATAATGTTTAGAAATTCTAAGGATGTTTTAGTACTGGCAACATGAGACCTGCAATGTATGTCGCTCAAATTGAAGTTCCCCTTGATCACTCAGCTTTTCTTCCTAAACATTGCAGATAGGTGCATAAGGAGCCTGTCATCCTGTTCTCTAGTGTGATTTGGGGTCTGTAGCAGACACCAGCTAATACCCCCCCCATCTTGTGCTTGATCCATTGGACATTGATCCATAAGCATTCAAGAGCATTGTCTTCTGAGTTATCAGTGACCCAGACACAGCTGATACCATTTTTGACACAGAATGCCCCTCCCCTCTCCCTCCCCTTTTGCTTACTCAGTCCTTCCTCAGTAAGTGATAACCACTGATTTTAACAGTGCAGTCATTGGCATCACCCCACCCGGTGTCAGCAATGCCAACTAGGTGGCATTTACGGTCACAATGAGTAAGGCTAAGATTTTGTCATGGATAATAATAACTAATAACTGTAGCAGTGTCCAAGGAGCTGCCAGGGTCGTCCTCCTTCCCAGAGGCGGTGGAGAGCCGCTGGGGTCCCTCTGCGCCATGGCCAGGGAGCCGCTGGGGTCCCCCTGCTCCACAGCAGCTGGCAGGGAGGTGTGGGTGTCCCCCTGCTGCCACGGCTGGCAGGGAGCTGCGTGGATCATCCTGTCCCCCGCAGAGGCTGGGAGGGGGGTACCTCACAGCTCCCTGCTGCTGCAGGAGGCAGCGGGACCCTGCAGCTCCCAGCTGCCGAGGCTGAAGTCACGGAGGTCTTTGGAAGTCACGGATTCCGTGACTTCGGCTACTTCTGTGTCAAAATTGTAGCATTAACGATGAGCAATTCCGATTCCTCTTGGCAGTTACCCAGGCTCCTCGCACTGATGTGTTGGCAATTTAAAAATTTCTTCTTTTCACAGCCTTTGGTTCCATCATTAATTTTGTTGTCTTCATCTCAATTTTGTGTTGACTGAAGGCTCGTGTTTTCCCTGTTTTTACCCTCCTCTGCTGCTGTTAGTTTAACCCCCTCCTTACTGCTGTGGCTAGCCAGTCCCCGAGGAGATTGGTCCCCCATCTATTGAGGTGGAGTAAATCGGCGTAGCCCCCTTGACGTCCCCATGGATTTACAGCTGCGTGAGTTTGTCACCTTGTGTTGCTGATTTTTCTTCTCTCTCTCTTCTAGAGATAGAACGGATAATCCAGCTGGACTTGGACCTGCAGTACAAGACCAACATCCGAGAGCTGTTTGAGGAGTTTGACCATTTCCTGCAAGGAGCCGTCATTGGGATAGCCAGAGAGATGCAGCCTGTCTACAGGTATGCCAGTGTGTGTGGCACTCAGCAGAGGTGGCGAGACAGCAGCTGGCGTTCCTGTGCTTTGCTCACATGGAGACTTACCGTGCAGAGCAAAGTACAGAGATCCCATGAGTCCTGCCTACTGGGGCTGTGTATTGGGGGTATTCAGAATCTGGTGTCTGTGTGAAGGGAAACATACAGGACGCTGTTCTTTGCCTCAGTCATTAACTCCATGTGTCACTTCGGACAGAGAGGCCAAAACTTGCAAAGCTGAGTTCCTGAAGTCTGTACATTGGCTCCCGGCCGTGCTGCTCCCAGAGGAGTTGCTGTGACTTGTGGGTGCTAAGGCCGCTTCTCTCTAGGTGCCTACAGCTGGATTTAGGAGCCTAACTCTGGGCGTCTCCATCTAAAACCTTGGCCACAAAGATTCAGTTCTGTCAGTCAGAGCAGCAACGGTTTCCCAGGCCAAGGTGGGTGCCAGGTGACAGCTGCATATGTGTTTTGCTAGTCTGACCACTGAGCCGAACCAAGTTCTAATCACAGGCTCTGTGCAGTGCGGCCATCCTCCTGGCCTCTCTGCTCACCTCGGGGGGCTGCGTGCACGGCATCGTGGTGATGCTAGGTGTAAATGGGTCTCACCCTCCACTTCCTGCACCGATTTCAGACCACATTCAGTGCTAAAAAGTGACCCCGGCCAGGGAATCCCTGACCCCAAACACGGTGAGCACCTCCATACTAGGGGCCACTCTTGGCTCCTTGCACTTGATTGGTTCTTTCGTTTCACTGCAGGCACAGAACAAAAGGGAGGAAAGCGAGGCTTTGAACTGCCTGAAGGGTCCTGCTGGAGTGCTGAGTATACGGGCTGGGAATATATTGACTTGCATGTTGTGTAGATGTGGGTTTCCCACATGTCCTGGAGGCTACTGCTCTTGCTGGTGCTGATTTCAGTTGCAGTCGATGATTTTTGTACTGAAAAATGTCCTTTGCTCTAAGACATATTTGTACGAATGCTGGAGACTACACACTGATAAAACTCAGTAATCCTGCTTTGCAAGCTCGACCCAGGTGGAGAATTCAGGAGTTCAAGCCGCAGCCTGCTCCAACAGAGCCAAAAATGTTTCCAGTCACAGTCACAAGGCCTGGCAGGGGCAAGCGAACGGCATTTCCAGTGTCTTTGTGTTGGTTTCTCTCCACTATTGCCGGGTGAAAGAGTCACATAACCAATAGCCACTAGCCTGGCTGGGTAGCTAGTGACTCCGAGGAGCCCCTGACTGACCCTACACCCCATGTAGAAATCGGCAAAGGAGGATAGGGAGAGAAACCGTTTTCCCTTCTCTCTATCCCTGACACAGCATCTGGGATCACTAGAGCTAGAGACATTCACATGGCTTCAGACCACAGTATGATCTTTTTAAATATGTGTAACCGCTTCTGAGAGTGCTGGGATTTCTTTAAGGAAACGTGACTGCTTCCAGTGAGAGTCACTGGCCTGGGACTTGGCCTGGTTGCTAAAACACGATAATCCTTTTGAAATGTTTTTCTGTGAGATTAGGGTCCATCTCCAAGCTGTGCCTTGGTTTCACATTGGGAGTCCTCTTGCAACATGAGCTCAGTGGGATCATGGATCTGGATTCACACGCTAATGAACTCCTCACAAAGTAATTGTCCGACCTGGGTGTCTCTTGGCACCATTGAGTCGCTTGTGCTCAGCAGGAAGCCCAGACTGAGCCAGTGCAGAGTGAGGTCCCGTTTCCTTTTCAGAGACAGAAATGTGGGTCAGGTTTCAGGCCATCAGCGAGGTGTAGGAAATGGATGTTTTCACTTCCTTGACTGGGCCAGGCTTGTGGATAACGAGGAGCCAGGGTTTTCCAGGGCTGTCGCCCTTCACCACTGCAAATCCCAGCAGCTGGGAAGTGGAGTTAACAGAGCTCTGGCGTCCCCCGTCACAGCCAGAGCTGAGTGTGCACCCAGTAGGCCCAGAGATTCACGGAGCTCCCCCTTGGCACCTCAGTAAGTAGCCTCGTTTTCAGCAGAGCCCGGTGTGTTGGGAGCTGAGCCATTCCATCAGCTTGGTCTTGCGTGATCAGGGTGACGTGGCCCTGGAGCCTCAAGCGAGCTCCAAGCTGCACAGCATCCATGGTGATGCACAACCATCCAGTGCAACGGGAACCTGATCCATTGTTTTAAAGGAGTTGAAGGTATGTCAGGGTCTTTCCCTGTCCCTGCTGCCGCGCCCACCCACCACTCCCCCTCCTGCCAGGTTCATGGGGGTTACAAACTCTTATATAAAACCAAACCCCGCCCATGCTGCTGTGCGAAAGAGCCACAGAGACTGGGAGCCTGGCTGGCTGGCTGCTCAGGGACACAGCGGCACCGCTGTGCACAAGGGCCGCTCCTGGGCACAGAGTAACCGAACTGCCAGCCCAAGGGATGTGTCTCTGCCTCTCTCACCTCTAGTGACCATACACGAGGCCTGTAACGGTGGCAGGGAAGAAATGCTTCAGACAGTGGCTTTGAGTTTGACGATGCCCCACAACTTCACCCCAGCTTTGGGGACAGACGAGCCTAAAACACAAACCATAAAGACGGTGGTGTGAGGGCAATGCCAGGCTCCTTCATGTGCAGAGAGAAAGTTGTTATTGAAGAGAGGTGCAGGGGAGTGATCTGAGCGCAGACCAGGGAGCTGGAGCGAGCTGGCAGACCAGGTGCCAGCTCATGCGAAGGTCCCCAGGTCCCAACTGAGCACGGACACGCCCACAGCTCGAACCGAACTGGCTCATCTGGGTGCTATGGGTTTAGTGTTTAGACTGTATTGAATGCTTGTGAGTTGCTGTTTACGTTAATCTCACATATTACCATGTAACATGGGATGCAGATATTCTATGTAAGCATTGATACAGTAAGCCCCTGTGACTGCGTAATCGCCAGACAGGGGAGGGACATTAACTAGTGTAAAGTGCTGGTCTCCAACAGAAGGAGACCATCCTGGCCAACAAGGAAGGCCCATCGACACCAGACGGGCTAGTGTGGGACATTAAAGAGGATAAAAGACTTTGTTGCTCTGCTCTTCCCCCACCCCAATGAAGATGAGTCTTGCAAGTGGCTTCCTCCCATCCGCTGAGGTCACAGTTCAGGGCACGTGGGGGGATGGGAATAAAACGCCCTAAGAAGGAGGACTGGACTCTGGGGGCAAGGTTTTTAGGCACAAGCAAGAGAACCCCAGTGCTTAGCTTGGGTTAGCCCTAAAGGACATATAGAGCTTGCTTTTTATAGAAGCTTCTAGTACCTTTTGAAACTTAAGATGGTAGCTTATTTGTGTATGTAAATTTACCTGCTTTAACCTTGTTCTTTAAGCTCTTGTTTCCTTTTCCTATTTAATACATCTTTAGTTGGTTTATTATAAGATTGGCTACAAGCATTGTCTTTTGTGATAGGATCTAAGGTGCCTCGGGAAAGTGACTGGTCCTTTGGGAGTGGGAGTAACCTGAATATTGTTGTGATCCTTGGTGTCAGGGACCATCTGTCACACTTAGGTGGAGAGACAGATTGGAGTACCCAAGGAGACTGTCTGTCTGTGACTCCATGTGAAGACTGTTATAGTGGCCGGGGAGTTTACACTTGCTAATCTGTCGGTGAAATCTAAGTGTAGAACTCGCAGCCAATCTGGGGTTTGTGCCCTGGTTCCTAACAGTCTGCCCGGAGCTTGGTAGTCATGACCTGGAGCCGCTGCAGGACAGCTTGACACCAGGAGCCCCCAAGTTCTAATCCCAGCACGGATCTAGGTGAACTCGGGCAGGTCGCTGGAGCAAAGCTCCCTTGGTGGCCCGTAGACAGAATTCGAACTCTGTCCTCGGGCGCCTGTCTCAAGGTGCCTGATTTACAAGTGTGCTGAGCACCTGCCGCTCCCATGGACCTTCCATGAGACCTGGGCAAGGGCTTTGCTGAATTACAGCCTAGAAGGGACTTCAGGGTTTGTTCTGCTGTGTCTGACTCCTCGGGGGGCCAGGGGAACACTGCTACCCCGTGGGCACCGTTCCTCATCTCTGAATGCAGCAGGAGCGCGCACGCCTGCTGTCAAATTCAGCCGTAACTTCCTGCCTGTAACAATAGTAATTCCTAGCTCTGACACAGCATTTTTCATTAGAGACTAGTAAGGTGCTGTGCAACGTGAGTCAGCAGCATCACTCCCTTTGTGCCTGTGACGCGTGTGGCCGGCTTTCCGCACAGTGCAGTCAGACTAAAGGAGCAAAGCAGGTTCTTGCGGTGTCATTTCCAGATCCCCTTTGAGGATGTCTCCTCTAAACTGAAATTCACAATGTTCTGATTAGTACGCAAGGAAATTGATTTAGTTTGGCCTTGTCTGTTCAAAAGACGAATCTCAAATTTCGTTGTAATCGAGGCTGAGCCAGATCCTCACCGTGAGATGCCTTGATGAGTTGGTTGTACCAGATTGGCTTGCACAAGGGTTCTCAGGTGGAGCGGCTCAGCTCCCCAGACTGGAATTGCTGGTTGTAATAAGTGTGTGCTTAGGGAAAGATCAGAAATTTACAGCTCTTCATGTCTCTTCTTTTCCCATTTCAACTGTTAGTAATGGGCATTAATAATTAAATCTTCTTCCGAGGGGAGCCCAGCCATACTATGTACGCTGCTGGCTGGCCGGAGCCAGGATAAATTCAGTGCTGGGTGCACAGACATGGCGTGGATTCTGCTCCCATGCCCAGTCTGTATAACGGACAGGCAGCGGCAGGCTTGTGCCCAAAGGCAATGTGCCAATGTTTAAGATTTGTTATTTATCAGTCTAAATGGATTTTTCTTAATATTGGAAATTAAAGACCCAGATTCTCTCCTGCTATGAGACTCTGTGCAGCAGGTGGGAGGCTTGGGGCTTCCTGGTTTTCAGCACGTAGCCCTGCCCCCCCAGCCCTGGGGCTGCTCTCACCTGTGCCACCTGGCAACCGTCCCCACGGGATCAAAGGCTATCGGGGGCTAGCTGAAGTGCAGCAGTCTCTGGCCACACACGC